GCGTATGCCGATGATATTGATACCATCGGCCTCAACATCCACGCCGTTAGTTCTGCTTTCTCCAGACTGGACAAGGAAGCAACACAAATGGGTCTGGCAGTGAACGAGGGCAAGACGAAATATCTCCTGTCATCAAGCAAACACTCGTCGCAATCGCGACTTGGCACTCACGTCACTGTTGACAGTCATAGCTTTGAAGTTGTAGATAATTTCGTCTATCTGGGAACCAGCGTAAACACCACCAACACCAACACCACCTTTGCGCGTTGGCCACGGCGAATATCGCATTCGATGGAACGATGAGATGTACGAGATATATGACGACATTGACATTGTTCTGCGAATTAAAAGACAGCGGCTACGCTGGTTAGGTCATGTTGTCCGAATGGACGAAAACACTCCAGTTCTGAAAGTATTCGGCGCAGTACTCGCCGGGGGAAGCAGAGGAAGAGGAAGACCTTGGAATATCTAATTGGCGCCACGTAACGAAAAGAAATAAATAAATAAATAAATTTGGCGTACGTTATATTCTAAGATAAAAGAATTTACATAGATGATGATGTATTGCCGTTGTCGAGTTTCAATCTGTTTGTAGTGCCAGATTTACATTCGTTATTCCCTTGTATAAATGTAATTACATACAAATTGTGGTGTGAAATAAAAAATATATCGTCTATCAAAAGAGTATTATAGCGACAAGCTCCCACTTTATTAGAACGTAATTAGGTAATCATCTCCTTATAATTAAATTGTACTACAATTTTAACTAACTTTTTAGTTGGTATTCATATTTATAGATAGGTATTGTATTTATTTATAGAACATTTGCATATTTTTGGTTAATATAAGCTTTGGTGTGATAATTATGAGTACGAATCGAGGCAGCCAGAGTTTGAACAAGATGCTTATCCCTTTTGCTTGAACATGTGTATGAGTCAAGGTCGCGTCCACTGTTGAAGAAGCAAAAAAGCCAAAAATTTGTTGAAAATAACTGCGTCTAACAGCTGTTTACACTAGTTATCTGATTTCAATCTCTTACCTAGCGTTGTTTGTTCTGAGCACGCGCTCAGCCCAAGTTTGTGCGCGCGGTATTTCCCTTGAAACGCCAACTTGCTTCTTATCCAAGTAATCAATTACGTCATCATAGTAGTTTGTTCTGTAGTTGTACATGTATTTATACTGCAAGAATTGTGGTCTGAAAAATAAATGGGAAATAAATGTTTGCATGTCGAAGTAGAAATGCAAATTTAAAGCAGCGCAACAAAATTCATAAAAACAAATGTTAATACTTGTTCAACTTACCTCACCCAGTGACGATATAGTTGCACGGGCTTTCGGTACCCATCGTCTTCTGGCGGCGGTGGGGGGGGTGCCGATTCTTCTTCTGCGACAGCTGCTTCAGTTTCGCCTCCTGTTGGGGCGCTCTCACCACCACCCGCGGCAGGGGCAGCACCTGCATCTGCGGCAGCGGCAGCGGCAGGAGCAGGGGCAGTGGCTGGCTCACTATCACCCTCATCGAAACCCCATGGATCCTCCTCATCAGCCATTATACAAGTTTACTTGAAAGATAGTTAAGAAAAGAGGAAGCAACTACTCGAATTATTTTAATATTCAGTATTGAAAAGTTTGGCTAAAAGTGCAATTGGTTGGTTTTTCGAATTTTATTTTTGTTATTTTCTAAGTAAACGGCGCTGAATTAAGTCTAATAACAGAAATAAAATATCTTGTAAATGAAACTACTTTGACGCTAACTACTTTGGTTATAGTCTTTTCCATCCTTTTCTTTTATGAGCGCTAACTATAATGCCAAATAATGAATTAATAAATTTTAAACCTTAGTGGGATTATCTACTTTACCCCTATATATATATATATATCAGCCAATATTATTATAATATAAATATATATTATAATATATAATTATTATAGTATACAAAAAAAGAAGCGCAACACATATGAACGTTACACTGTGTGGAAAGTGATAAATTGTTCGACGAAGAGGCACACCAAAGTCAGAATACAACCAAAATTTTAGAAGTGATGATATCATAAAGATAAAAGGTAGTATTTCAAATTTAAAATATAATATGTATATATTTTTGTCTGAATTAAGTAATTATGTGCAATGAAGATTCTAAATTAACACAATATCGATTTAATTTTATTCAGATGTGTATTTTACTAAAGGGATATGAGAAAGTATTAAACAATGTTTATGGGTAATTTGTTTCTTATTTTTTTTAATGTGTAGGGATGTTTTTTTAATGTAGGGAGCGACAGGCACCCCTCATAGTTTCCACTCGTTATAGTTAACAATAAGAAAATATGAACTAGTCTGCATTTTTACTTTCAATCTTCTTGAGTATATCTTGGTTTGTTGAAATTTTTTTTTAATTTTCCAACTAAACGACTAACTGAAATATTTATTTTCTTTAGCTATCACATTTTGTTCAAAATGTAATAACTTAAAAAAAAACTTCTTATATAAAATTAAACTCCACTAACTATTTAATTCGGATACTCTACTATTAATAAGGTGTTCAATTTTATTTGTAAATAATTGTCATTGAATTAAAGGACAAAAATATATATATTTCAAGTATTGAAATTGAAACAATTTATTTTTAAAAACTTCTCACTAATTTATTCATGAGTTTATATTTTTCATTATTATTTACTTTTGAAGTTATGTAATCTCCACAGAAGCTAAGTAAATACAAAAAGCGCCTTATTTGCCTGTTGATAGCTTCAATGTCAATAGGTTTAACGAAATTAACAAAGTTCACGTCAGCATTTTTTGAATTACATTTATATTCATTATAATTGGCTTTTTGCGTTTTGTTGGCGCCTCGCACAACACTGCAACACTGTCTGCTGCAATTATGCAACTTGTTTGCATCTAATATGGTAAGAACTTATCACATTTCATTTGTTCGGACCACTTGCAGCTCACAAATAGATTTCAACTGATAAAACAACCGAAATAATAACCTTAAAATGTGCTTGATGTTGCACAATAAACCCAACTAATTTAAAAATAACTAATTTTTTTATATATTAGTTAAAAATAATTTCGAAAGATCACTTTTTAATAATAAGCAATATTATCTTGATAAACTTTTCATAGAAATATAATTTTATATATAATATAATACTATTATATATATATTATGTTATTATCATGCGTGCGAATCCTCTACAAATGCACAATTGAATTTCTAATGGCTTTAAAGTGATCATCTACTAATTGATACCTTCAAGAGGTTGATGTTGATTGAAGAGGTATACAAAAAACACTGCAATCGAGAAAGTTAATTTAGAAATTGGAAGCCTAACCAATTACTGAGGCGAAGGTTTTATCGCATTTTATTTGTAATGATTAGCCAATCAGCGTTAAGTAGACAACAACTACGCCAATTAATACCTATGCGAAAGACACTTTTAGATTTAAAGGCAAATGCACGTATTTAAATTAGTGCAGTGCAATGTACATTGATTAATTACGCTTGGCAAGTATCCGATAATATTAAACTTTTAAACGTAATAATATTACACAGTGCGCATTGCATTGGTTGCTGGCGGCGAACAAAAAATATGTACATATATTCAAAAGAATATGTAGGTTTTAGTTGAAAATAGCAAAACCCCATTGAAGTACCAGTTGCAATTAAGCATATGTGCATACTTTTACTGAACAGTGTATGATTTTTTATGTGTTTATTTATGCATACATATGTATGTTGTATGCTACGCAGTGGGTTATACTTTTTCATTATTTTGTTATAAAGAGATTCATGGTAGTACGATGGGGGTTTGATAAATCAGAGAGTTTTAAAATATAGCAGATCTTCCACTACCAATGAAAAATTACAAAAAAACCAAAGTAAGCAGCTATTTGTTGCAAAAAAAGAAACGTTTACTATGCGGTTTGACTTAGTTCATGTCAGATGATAAGCATTTACCAATATTTTATGGAAAGTAGATAATACACAACCTTTCACTCCATAGAAGCGTTTACAAATAAATAAAATATAAAGTAAACAAATTTTGTCATAATACTGTAAACCATGCATTTTAGGAACCATAAATTTACGACAATCTCAAAGTTAGCGAAAATATTCAAAATATGATTAAAAGTAACTAAAACTCATCGTTCCGATATGTGACAAAGTAATGGTCGATCAAAGTTAAAAAACGAAAAAAGTCCATATGATTAGAAAATACAATTCCACAATATATTCTTAGTCGAAAAAGTCTTTTCGCATTTCTAATAAAAATGTAACTTATTTTTTTATTTTTTATTTATAATAAACCGCCATTTATAACAAATATGTACCATTTTGGTCAACTACTTTTTACCATTTTTCCGCTAGAGAAATATTTTCATCAGTATAAATCGAAATTTTCAGAACGGAGAGCGAACCATCAATATATAGCGATTTACTTCATTATTTTTAGTAATATTTGAACAGATGTAGCTTTTCTATTTCGCCGAATTTTATTATTTTTTTGGTGAAATGAAGTTTAGAAACTTACCTTTCCAACACCATATGGTATGGCAAAATGTGATTAATAGCACTGGAGATATGTGGCAACTCAGCATGCAGTAAATTCTACCACAGCACAATTACAGCTGTTGAGCTGAATTGCAGTTACGAGTGCCAACGCTCCAATAATCAGCATCACAATCGCCTCATATGTTAATCATTTCATTTATTGTTTAACAATCATAGAGAGATTTACAAGATGGCCCTTTGCTGTTCCTCTGAAGGACATGCCGGCTGACGTTGTTTGTACTGCTTTCTACTCGAACTGGATTACTCAGTTCGGCACACTGCTCACCACAGATCAAGGAACCCAGTTTGAGTCTGCGCTCTTCACGGCTTTGATAGGGCTGATTGGTGCCCATCTCATAAGAATAACGCCCTTTCATCCGCAATCAAATGAACTGGTAGAAAGGTGGCACAGAACGCTCAAGGCAGCTCTAATTTGCAACTCTATTTCTCCTTGGCCGGAAGTTCTTCCAACGGTGCACCTAGGTCTTCGCACGTACTATAAAGTAGACCTAAACTGGCTCAGGTTTACCTGTTCCCGGAGAATTTTTGGTTTCAGAGGATTTGCCACCGGAGCATATTAGAAGATTAAGGCCTATGAACTGCTCGTCTCAGTTGTTCATCCTGAAAAAACTCAACACTTGTTTTCACGTTTTTCTCCGCATCGATACAGTAAAGCCACCTTTAGAACCACCCATTTTTAAAATTAAAGTCGATGGAAGAGAGAACGTTTTCACCGTGGACAGGCTCAAGCCTGCATACATCGCCAAAGAAGACACTGAAAACACTCAGTAGCCCGGGGAACCTGTGAAAAATGATAACCCTCAACGAGTTGAGGAACTAGCCAGCAGCTGGAATCATGGACAAGCCTGTTCATACTTATTCCAAGAGAGATAAGGCTGTTTCGCTCCCCTCTTATCCTACGAAAGTCACTGGGAGAAGAGTATATGCGGCAAATCCGCCTGCAGCATATTCCATCACAGCACAATTACAGCTGTTGAGCTGAATTGCAGTTACAATTCTTATGCCACTGAACAATTATTATTCCAGCAATTTCTGACGCTACCAGAACATTATTTTAGCAAATTCTGACGTTACCACACGCTAACATATTTTATGAATAAAAAACGTTCATTTTCTAAAGGAAAAGTTTCAAAGTGTTATTGTATTTCGTATAAGAGTCATTGGATACCATTGGAGTAATAAGGGTGTTAACGCTGAAGATAAACGACTGCAACGACATCTATTCACAAAATGTTTAAAGGATAACCGTTTTCGAAAAACAACTTTCGTAAAGTACTCCATAGAAGCGTTTACAAATAAATAAAATATAAAGAAACATATTTTTTATAATCCTGAAAAAAAAAAATGCATTTGAGGACACATAAATTTACGACAAGCTGAAAGTTAGCGAAAATGTTCAAAATATGATTAAAAATAACTAAAAGTCATCGTTCCAATATGTTAAAACATAATGGTAGAGGTCAAAGTTAAAAAAAAAATGAAACAAAACTTATATAATAAAATTATCTTAGACAAAAATATTGCTAATAAATAATTTAATCATATGAGCTACCGTTTCTGAGATATAACGTTTCATAATTTAAACAAGTAAGGAAGAGCTAAGTTCTGGTGCAAACCGAACATTTTATACTCTTTCAACTTGCAAAAATAAAAACCGGGGAAATAATTAAAACCAATCATATAGAGAATGTCAGCCGGATGCTCGAAAATCCTTATATTACTTATTTAGGGGCTAGGCCAAGTTTTCGCTCAAATTTATCTATTTTAGACACAAAGATACACTCTTATGAATAAAACACACCCTCTTATTTTAATTGGGATAACTCACATATTATGCGATATATGCAGTACAAAGTCACCCGAAATTCTTTATATTAAATATTGGTGGCTAAGGGAAGTATTGGTCCGATTCAACCCATTTTTGGTATGCAGACATACCATTATAATGGAAGGATTATCCCTCAATTCCAGTTATAAATATCACACATTGACCGACATTTTCATTCAAAAGTCAACTATATGTAGGTACTGGTACTGGTTGATTTATCGCGCTTTTAGTAGTTTTGAATAGTACCATTATATGAGGAGTGAGCGGGAGTGAGTTTTCGTCCGATTCATTCATTTTTACAATATCTTAAGTAGTTTTTATAATATTCGTGCTAGGCGAATTTGGTTGTTGTAGCTTCACTGTTTCAAGAGATATGCACATTAAACATATTAGGGGCGGTGCCACGACTACTTTTTCAAAATTTTTTAGCAACAGGTGTCCCTTGCTACTGTGATCTCCCTTGTAGTATAGTTTTATATCTTTAGTTAGTTAGCTTAGTTATGGCACTTTATAGGTTTTCGGTTAATGACGATTTGTAAGCTTGGCAGTATCCGATTGTGCTTTTCTACAAACTCGAACTTTTTTTGTACTAAGGAACCTGTATATCAAGTTTCATCAAGATACCTTAAGTTACAGCTTAAACGGACGGACAGACAGTCAACCGAATTTCAACTTTTCTCGTCATCCTGATCATATAAGTATAACACTATATCTATCTCGCTAAGTTTTACGTGATACGTACAACCGTTAGGTGAATAAAACTATAATACTCTGTAGCAACTGGTTGCAAGCGCTCTAAGCACACTATCTTACGAGAAATTACTCGTATAAATGTGAGCATGTTATGACGACCGTTTTATTTCATTATATCATAGAAACTTTGTCTCTTAGGAAAAAATCACTAACATACAACTTGTGTATTTATTTAACTTCAGTGCCTACCTTCACTGTACTAAAAGATAAAGATATTTGATGTACTCAAACTCCAAAACGTTGTAAACAACAGGTACTGAGCAATTGACTGATATTGAAATTTCTGTATACTAAAACAAATAATAAATAATGTCATACGAATGAGGACAGGATACACAAACGCTTATGATAGTTAAACTGATGACGTACATAATCCAAATTTTAGTATTGGGTTGGTTGTATTTAAAATATGATGGATAGACAAATATTTTGTCACACTTGGAATTCAAATAACTTTGCAAAGGCGCGCCTCGCTCGGAGATAAAAAACAAATTTGTTCATAAAATGTTTGTTTCTTGATAATTTCCCTAACTTAATTTTTAGTTCTTTCTAGCTATTCATAACGTATAACACGAAAAATTACTGTATTCAGGTGTCTTCCTTCAGGTACCGCGCAAGTACAACATTGTGAAAATATATGCATAGTATATTTGTGTATGTATACATACATATATAGGTTCATCTATGAAGCGCCTTGAGCTCTGAAAGTCATTTATTGAATATATTAAGTTCACCGATAATATAATATGCAAGATGTTTCAACTTTAGTCAGCAAAAAACAAAAATAAATAAATAGTCGAGGCGAAAGTTACGAAATGTTTTCCCTCAGCCTTCCTCCACATAATTATGACATTTGGCATCCGACAAAATTTTCAACCGCGGGGTTCTGTTAAAAAACCTACAAGGATGATGGAAAAGCCGTTATCACGATTAGAGGGTGACTAATTGCAAGAAGGTCTCTCTTGTATTGCAGGACTGAGTCATTATCTCTTGACCAACAAAATTAATTTACCAATTTTCAGTTCCGTTCCCACTACAGTCGGGTCTACGTAACCGGAACGAGCCCGGATATTATATCCGGCCAAATACTGCCAACTGGCTGAATTTTGCAGCCACAACAACACCACCAACCAATTTTCAATTGAAATAATTCCACCACTTTAACCAACCTTCATTCCATAACCATTTCCAAAAGGTGTTTAATTGTTTTATAACTTTATTATTTTGCATGTATTTGAGATTAATTGTTTATTGCTTGTTATAACTTTTTATATAAATAAAAGTTAATGTGTTTGAGGATCACATTGTAATAAGCGAACGATTGACGGATCGCTCTTCGCGCCTTCAATGAACTCTTCGAGACTTAATTTGCCGTCTTTATTTCGATCCATCTGTCTAAATATTTTATCTGTTCGCTTCTCTGGGGTACTCTCGTCTTCCGGCATTTTCATAACTGAACCAACCATTTTATAAATTGCCTGAAAAGTTAAAAAATAATGAATGAAATTTTTAAGTAAATATTACTACATCGATAGCAAAAATGAGTAAAGAGCAATACAATTATATTAGAAAATCACATCTTTCATCAAATATGGACCAACCGTGACGATTTCCAGCATTTCTTGTCGGGAAATGTAACCATTTCCATCTAGATCATACATCGAGAACGCCCATTTTAACTTTTGTTCTAACTTGCCGCGTGATGTTACGCTTAGCGCGCATAGAAACTCTCTAAAATCAATCGTGCCATCTCCATTGGCATCGAATGTGCGGAATACGTGCTCAGCAAACTGGAAATAAAATTACAACAATTTTATTGAAATATTCTATAATACAATAAGTTTATACCACGCGCATTTTAGAATGAGATTTATGCTTACTTTACTTGCGTCGCCGTATGGAAAAAAGTTCCCATATATTTTTTTGAATTCTTCAACAGAGAGATGCCCACTAGGACAATCCTTTAAAAATCCTTTATACCATTCTTGAATTTCTGCATCTGTAAAGAAAATGGATATGTATTTTAAAAATATATTTAATATACATATGCATAAATAATCAGCGTACGAGCTGAATCGATCTAAACATGTCCGTCTGTCTGTCAGTCTACATATACGCGAACTAATCCGTCAGTTCTGGAGATATCGACATGAAAGCTTTTTTATTTCACGAAATTTGATAAATTGTTAAGATCGCACCATTATAGCATATAGCTGATCGATCAAACTCAAATCCTTGTGGAAAACTTTTTATTTGTTAAGATTTCTTTGGAATGAGTAATATGAAAAAAAATTAATTTTTAACAATTTTGCCATATACAAATCGTAATAAACTAATAATGGATAATGGATAAGGATACTTTTATGATATTGTTCTTGTCTTAAAATGTGAAAGAAAAGCCTACATACATATCAAAGAATATATTTTTCTCTACTTCTACTTTTGTGATTTAGTGCAATTCTTATTATTATTACTATTTATTTTGCTTCATATTTGCATATACATATAAATATATAAAAAAAAAAAAAGTAAGTTATCAAAGTGAAATATGAATAAATAATGAGAACAAAATTTAAGGTTTATATTTTTCGAAACAAAGTATATTTTTTATTCAGACCAAATATCAATGTATCAAATTAAAGAATTTTCAAAACAAGAAGTACATTCGTTTATAAAAGTAAAAACATAAGCATAAGCAGTAAATTGCATGTAGAAAAAAAACCGTTATTGTTCAAATATATTGAACATACATGAGGCACGTATGCATAAATATATATGTGATACGCAAGCACTCAAGAAATATAATAAACATATTTACTTAGGTTTGGGCAATTGATTACAAATGCACATGTGCACTTGAAAACAACCCAAACCATGCAACATAAATTATATGACAGCACACACACACGCATGCATTGCATTGTGTAGTTGAAAACAACCCCATGTGGTGTGCCGTACATACACATATATTTAAATAGATAAGTAAGACTTTTAAAATAGTATATAAAGTTTACAAATTTCACAATAAAATCAGACTAAAATAGTTCTTGTATTAAAATAGTTCTCACAGAACAAGACTTGACTATCAATTATTTCCCCACACCAGTGGTAAGGAATACTTGACAAAGCATGTCTTTTGTTCAGTTATCAAATAGTTTAACATTCACAATGTACAATAATTTCAAATTACTAGTTGCCACAATTCTTGTTGCATTGATTCATTTTGAGGAAAACCTTCAAACCTAACTAATCGTATCTTTATGATTGCGTAAGTATTTTTAATTGGTGACAAGTGAGGGCTTTTAATTTTTTAGATATTCTGTTATGATTTTTGCAGTATGAATGTGCGCGTCGTTCTGTTAAAGAAGGTAAACCAGCCTAATTAGTCATTGACCCTCGGGAATGGCGTGCTCCTTTAAAATATATAAATATACTGCATCAGTAATTTATCCTTCCAGGACTACAATATTACCCGTCAACCCAACGAAACCATGTCATGGGAAGAATAAAGTCTAATAATTCATTCATCAGCAAAAAAGCTGATAGCATTTAAAAAAAAACACTTGTTGCTTTGATAACTTACTTTTTCTATGTACTGTATTTCTCTAGCTCTCCCAAAGATGAGGATTTAACCAAGTTTTTTATTATAAACGCTATAAAACAGGTGTGTTGGCGAAGCCAACTGGAAAAATAGAAATGATGATCTAATGTGAAAAAAATATATTTAAGAGTATAAATGGACAAATCATTTTAATAACAAAAAATCTTGTTCAAAAACAATTGGAAGAAGCTAATTAACAAGAGTGCGGTGACAAAATTTGTTTGTATTTTGACATTATTTATTATTTAATGAGGATATTCATATCAAATAATCTAACAAAACAAGAAAAAAAAAGGAGTAACATAAACAATATTTTTTCGTTCTTCACATTCGTCCCACAGTAAGTATGGCGATGTTGGTTTACTGATATCAAGGTTGTCGTAACCTTGCATTCGTTTCACTGTTATTAAAACAAATACTGATAACGAGTAATTATTAAATGGTTACCGAAAATCAGTCAGCAGTTAAGTATCGTTTACCCTTACATTTTACTAATATTGATATACTACATATATTTTATATAACTTTAAATTCGTTACCTGTGAATTCTGTGTTTTGTTTAAGGTCTTCTAAGACTTCTGGTTTCAATTTACTGTTTTGCTTTCCCATTTTGATTACTCATGCTTTGATTTCACTGTAAAATATAAAAATTAATTAATTTCAAACATTTAAAGTAAAACACAAATAATTTAAAATGTTAAAATAAAAACTCAAAACTACAAAACTTAAACTTTGTTACCGTTTATGTTGCATTTGCATTTTATTTTGATCGTGTGCGCTAAGAGTTCGAACAATACAGATATTATAAGCGAGCTTGAGCTATTGCTTGAAAGGATATACGAAAAGTTCCAAAGTATTATTAAACGATGCATTTTTGTTGTTAGTTTACATATTGAAAAGTTCTCAAATGTGTATTGACACAAATTAATGTTAGCTTTTTAGTACAATAATTTCGAATAATTTTTTATAGTCAATAATTTTTTATAGTCAATAAAAAATTATATGAATTCATAATTTTTTGATTAACATATTTATTTATGAATTTTTTTGAATTCTTCGAAAGAAGAAATGTATAAAATAATAAAAAATAGCGCTTATTCGAAGCTAAGCTTACACAGCCAAATAACTACATACCTACACAAATATATATATAAGTATTTCAGTTTTAGTTCAAATATAATTTTCAACACATGTACTATATGAACACCCATATCCACTATGGGTCTAATCAAGTAATTTTTCTTGTGTTTGAGTTAAAAATAGATAGTATTGCATTTTTCTGCAGTCACATACGAAACAAACACAATGACTTGTGCGGAATTTGTGAAACAAATTAATTTTGTGTTTTTATTTTTATTTACTTAGTTATTTCTGTTTCCTTAAGTCCACTCAACCGTCCGAAAGATCGTTTTCCAAAAAACCAACTCAATTTAAAGATTAAATTGTACAAAATTATAAAACTTGCAACGCAAAAGTTGTTATATTCAATTGTTGATTATTTTTCTAATAGTACTCAAGTACATGTGTACATATGTACATATAATATTATTCATAATAAAAATATATTTTGTTATTTAAATACAAGAACGAATTTTCTTCAAATTATTAGGGCACTTCAAACTAAAACTGAGTAATATATTTATGAAATGTAAACAAAACGGCAGAGTGAAGCATTAAAAAAAAAACAATTTTAATAATTAAAAAATCTGAAAATAATAATACATATTAAATATTGAAACGATATGAAAAGAGAAGCGCTACGTAAAAACAAATAAATTATTGAGACGCTACCAACACATACATACATATGCCTTACGTAGTATGTTTCTCTTAAACAAGGAAAATTAATCAAATAAATAAGAAATAAAATAATAATTGTGCACTAGGCACACATACATATATACAAATACTTGTATACATACTTCTACATATCATATGTACAGTACATACAACATATGTACAGTACATACATGCATGAGTCAAAACATTAAAACACAGTATTAATTTTTAGTAGATGCCTTAGTATTCATTTTAGGAAATGTAAATTTATAAATATTGTGATATAAATGATTCAATAAATTACATAAACCACAATGGTCATATTATTTGGTTGTTGTTTTAATTCTTTCTTTTTATTTTTATTTTTATTTTTTTTTATTTGTATAGTTTGTTCTTTGTTTTTTCCGGGAGTTTTTGTATTGAATTCTGTTTATGGGGCCAACATTTTTGAAAGTTCCTCATCTTGCAGACACCCTTTTAAAAATTCATCTTGAGTTAATTGACCATCATTATTTTCGTCCATTTTAGCGAATATATTTTTTGCACGCTCCTCAGCAGAATCTGCTGGTCGATTCGATGAACACGCGCCAAGCATATCGTATATTGCCTGTAACAAGTGGAAAATATAAAGCACACAACGCGCTTAGGTAATTAAAGCAAAAAGAGTAAGACTATAAATTTGGCTACAAATAAGTAACAAATGTATGTTTGCATTGTATGTAAAAATAAATTAATATTTTCAGTAGACATCAAAAAATATCAACAGAAACAAGAAAATAAATTTAAAAAAAACTGTGAGCCTAAACTTTTTTACAAAAATTTGAGGCATAAAGTACTTTTATACTGGCTGTTTCAGGGATTGTTCGTTACTATTTAATCTAACTAACGAAATTTGATATACTTTGTATAACTGTTCAAAACTTTATATTCAAATTGCTCGAACGATTTATAACGGATAAAAAATTCATAGTTTCAGGGCAAATTTTTCAGCATAATTAGATATCACAAAATAATTATTTTATTCGAATACGATAATCTAAAATGAATGGACTGTATATATTTTTGTACATCGAATATCTAAACATATATATTTATATAAATAAAAAAAAAATATTCCTACAATATGAAACACCGCATAGTAGTACTAATTACTTAATTTGGGAATTTAAATAGCTGATTCACATCAAAAGTAAAACGAAATAAAACTGTGTAATTTTACATAAATACATACATACATATTTCCGTATGATAAGTGTACATAGCAATATATACTACCTGAACAATTTTCGTCATTTCTTGTATGTCAATTACGCCATTACCATCTACGTCGTACATGCGAAAAGCCCATTTAAGCTTCTCCTCGGGAGTGCCACTCGATGTAACGTCTATAGCAAGTAGAAATTCCTATATAAAGTGATTAATTAAGAATTTATTCAGAATAAAACCATAAAACGTTGGGAAATTCGTTTATTATAATTTTATGGAACGAAGAACACCGCAAGAGTTTTTGGAAAATTATACTTGCTTTTATGATTATTGGGAACAAATTTATACAAATCTAGCTCACAGTATCTTATTGCCTGTCAAGTCCCTAACACTTTTAATGACCAAGTAACGAGTTCTTCTCAATTTTATAGGATTTATTTTTGCATTTTGAGTATTTATACCATCATAACATGTTGCTATAGAGTATAATAATTATATAATGCTTTTTATCACCTAAAACTAATGGAGTTATCAAATATATATCTATTTATATAAAAGAAAGTTGTGTTAGTTACACCATTTATAACTCAAGAACGGCTGAACCGATCTGGCTGGGGAGGTAGCTTAGAACCAGGCCAGGCATAGGATACTTTTTATCTCTTTATGTCAAAATTTAATACAACTCATAAATACAAAAATATATTTTAAATAATAACCATTTGTTCAAAATTCATTTCAAACAGAATCTTCATCAAAACTACTACAATTGGTAAGTAGAAAAGAACTGCAACCAAATACGCAGTGAAATAGATTATAATTGGCTCAATAATCCAGCAGTTTTTTCTTTTCACGCCTGAAAACCGATTCATCATGTGCAATCCATTAGAATGACTACCGATTGGACTCCAGTGAGAAATGATGGAGCTATATTTCCATTGTCACACACCGACGCCGAAATTTTGTTTTATTACGATTAAAGAGCACCAAAAACACTTCTCAGAATCGATTATTCGTTGCTTTTGTTGTATTATGAACTTGCGAGGCACCCACTTTGCACAAAGATTTCGCCTCTTTAGAGCATCATTGCCCTCGGTGCTCATTTCGCCTGTTTCCAGCTTAGCAAATATCTTTTCAACGGTGGATTTTCCTGAACCCAAATTCAACAGCAGTCCCCCAAAAAGCAATGCTTTATTAACACTCGAAATGCTTTATGATCTATGATCTAACACATGTTGCTTCACAAAAATGCTATATCTGATTAGTTCTAATCCAACTAATAGAAATCATATAGATGGTAGTAGTATTAGCGTGGGCGGGTCATCTAGTATAATATAAATGAAACGCTATTTCGTTATGTACTCCCGAAGTAGGACAAGAAAGACCTAAAAATTTGCCTGGTTTTTCGTTTATTCCTGCAGAAAATAGCAACGAAAACCTTTTTTTGCAAAATCACTCTCGATTTTGCAAATACATTCGATAGAATAAATTAAGATACAAAGCGGTAATTTAGTGCAGCAGAACGCAGTTGCCACCTCTTCGAACTCTGTGAAAATGGGTTAAAATCAGACAATAACCCTTCCCCATACAACAGTTACGTGGAAAACCACTAAAAGTGCGATAACGTTCAAGAACTTAACCAAAAAGAAAATTAATGAAGTGGGGAAAACTTTATACTTTGGATTTTTATATATGTATGTACATACATATTATTTGCGTATCTTTTAAAATAGTAATTTTTTCACAAAAATGGTTTACAAATAGATGAGTCGAACAGCAACCGATATACATACATATGTATGTGTACCCATTACTGTGGGCAGACAATTAAAAAAAGAAAAGTATTGTTTCTGGTGATGAGGTTTGGATTTATGAACCCGACCCCGAAAAAACGACCAGCCCAACTGTTAACGCGGAATACTATTTTAGTGTTATGGGTCGTTTGGGCGAAACTATCGTAAAAAGAGGCCCGAATTAGGCCCCACGCCTCTTGGTTTTTGCGCCACGATAATGCACCGTCGCTTACTGCATTACATTCTTAGGCAGTTTTTCGCTAAATTACGCTACGACATAACTTCATACTTAAGTTGTGCCCAAATAAAATCTTAGCTAAGCATTGATGCAGACTGAGTAGTCGTTTGTACATATGTTTTACAAATGTCATCCATAAAAATAAAAATATGTTTGGAATATTTAAAGCAGACAATACATCAATTTGCGAGGAAAGTTACGAATATAGATGAAAACAACAAAAGAACCCCGCCAACAAGTCGGTGCCTCTATTGAAACTGGTGGAAATCCCAATTCGATTCCATATTTTTTCATAAAAAAAATAATTTCCTATTTCTTATTTTTCTTCTTTGAAGAAATATCTGAAAATTCAAAACAAAAATCAACTGTTACTTAAGCACTGCTACTGTGAAATGGGGCATTACTATTTTTTTCTCATAGTAGTAAGTATTAGGTTATAATTACAAGTAGATACATACATATGTACATATTATATATTCGTATGCTGCAGAATGGCGTCAATATCAGTTCCAGCGTCACACATACCATACATGCTCTTAAACATACTCCTACATATACTATACTTGTGCCAGAGATAAAGAGATGTTTAACTCCTCTCTCACTGGAAGTGAACTTTGACAGCTAATCGAGTTCAGTAGGTTTTGACGTTTATCAATTGGAAACGAGCGATGGCCAGATTGAAATCTTACCAAAAAAATATGTAAACGGAAGGATTTGTTGCATCGTTATGACCGCTTATAAAAAATGTAAAACAATGAAAATTAAATAAATTTGTGAAATTTAAAGGTATTTGTTCAAACGTTTAATAATTTGAAGCATCATAGTATTATTTTCGTTGGAAAATGATTAAAAACATATAATGATTGAGAGCTAACACGCTTAAATCCTTTTATTGGATATTCAAAGGCCAAAAGTCAGTTGTTCTAATTTACTTTAAAAAGATTTAAATAGTTTCTACATATAATAAATAACCACTATATAGTAATTGTTATTCGTACTAAATATTGGGTGTTTTAATTTAAAATGCCCAAAAATTCTTATTTTGTTCGATCTGGCCATAATGGAAAATGTTATAAAAAAAAAGCGCTTATTTTGAGGCGCTGTCACACTGGAATTTATTCCTGCTTGCACGATGCACTATATTGCCTTTGCAACGACAGTTTTGTACCCTTCCTTATTTTCAAGCTTATTTTGTTTTGTTATTGCTATTACTTGTTTTTTGTTATGTCAATATAAGTAGTTGTCGCTTATCATTTGTGTAAATGTAATATTTTTTGTTGTAAATGTAAGTATGCAGTTTTAGTGTGTGTATAGCTGGCTGCGTAAAATCAATTACATCAGTTTATCTCTTCCTTGGAACACAAATACACACTAATAATTTTGTTTTACTTTTTCTTTATTTTTGTGTTTTTTGTTGTACTCGGGTTGAAGCGCATGAATGGAAAGACAGCTGAATAGTGAAGTTGCTGTTCGGTTAATCGTGCGCGCTGAAATGCATGCTTACAGAAATAAATCCATTTAATGAAGGAATTAAAACAAATGCTACACACAAGAATCTGCACTGCGTTTTTCGTATTGTGGTCTTTTAAAATAAATATGCATACCAAGTACATACATAAACCAAACACTATTATATCCCACTACGCGATAAAACTAACTTTAAATTGGCGTGCCGGCCCACCAGGACAGCCAGTGGTAAAACAACGCATCCAACAAACAATCGGCAAACATGGATACATCTGCATGAGCGCCACTTAACCGCAATATACACACCTTCTCAAAATAATAGTTACACTATAAATAGTTTAAAAAACTTTTTATGGATTGTATGCGACAAGTTATGCTGTAAATATATGTAATTAAGATAATATGGGCTCGCCATTTCTAAGAGAATGAAGTATGTGCATCTCCAAGTTAATGCGTACGTCAGTTTTGCGCGAATACTCAGAAAAATAATTGCTCGATATAATAGATACACATACATAAGTGAACTTAGCTCTTTGTGAAAACGAACTTAATTTTTTCCAGTTTTTCAAGTCTTTTTTCTGAATTGGTAAATTTTCTTTAATTAAAAGTTCAAAATGGTGCAGATAAATTACATAATTTTTTAATCAGATGGGTCGGAAGTCACATTGCATCCCGACTGGTCTCAAAGCAAGGAAAATCGCTGCGGGAAATCGGGAAATTAATTGAAAGGTCACATAATTTTGTTAAAAATGTTTTAGAGCGAAAATCTAGTAGGGAGACTCGTGGAAGGCCACAAAAAACGATTACAGTTCTTAATAGCCATATAGTAACTATTTGTAAAAAGGACCCATTCAAGTCATCGAAGGTGATAACAGCAGAAATTGGAAATGTAGTAAGTGCTCAAACAGTTCGCAGGCGTTAGGCAGGCATTAATGCGATCAAAAAATTTAGATATGAGGTTAAACTTTGCAAGAAGTTATTTAGATTGGTCAGGACCTGAGGCAGCAAAAAAGTGGGGAAAGGTCTTATGGAGCGATAAAACGAAAATAAATTTGTTTGCAAACTATTGTTAGAGAAATGTGCGTCGTCCAAAAGGTAAGGAGTTTCACGTTCGATTCACAAAAAAAACTGTGAAACATGGAGGTGGAATCGTCATGGTGTGGGGAAATTTTTCTTGAAGTAGGCAACTATATACCAACTGTACAAGGAAATACTTGAAAATGTCATGATACCCTATGCTGAAGAAAACTTACCATTACGATGGGTATATCAGCAAGAGAAACTGGTTAAGAAATATTTTGAAAACAATAATGTTAACGTTTTGAAGTGCCCGCATTTAAATTCAATAGGAAACTAAACTAAAAAAAAATTGGGGAGTCAAGAAACCTGTCGGACTTAAATCAGTAGTATGCCCAAACGAATAAATAAAGTAATCCAGAATAATGGTGGATATACTGGTTTTTAACTGAGTAATGTTAAATATACAACAAAACTGTTTTATCATATTTTGTTTTTCCAAAATAGTTCGCAGGCTTTTCTTATTAAAAGTGTCCCCATTTTTTTGAGCAAGTTTATTTTAGTTATGAAATATTTTTGAATCTACATTTGTTTGTTTTGCTTTTTTTAAATGAAGTTTATTTAATTTAACTTGTAAATATTTGAAAAATATAAGTACGTTTGCGTTTTTCTTAAAAATTTATGTA